AAAAAAAAAAAAAAAAAAAGAAGAAAAAAAAGAAGAAGGAAGATTTCCCTTATTTCAGTTAATGTGGCTGACCGAAACAAGGAGAGAATCTATAATTAAGATTTCCTCATTTATTTCGATCAGTCACACTAACCGAAGCAAAGCAAGGGAATATTTGTAACTGTACAAGCATGGAAAATCTGCAAATTTGTCTATTTCCCATGGTTGTTTCGATCAGGAACCGCAATGTATGCAAATTGAGCTTAATTGTCTTTTCACTATGAAATTGGTTTAGAGTTGTATTTCGGTCATATTTATTGACTGAATTTATAATTGTTTATGTACTTCGTTAATATTTAATGTTGAAATGGTGGGGAGATTTTTTTGCCAATTTTTATTTGGTCAGTTTAATTGACTGAATAAAGGTTGATGTATTATTCGGTCAAGAGTCTTGACCGGACTGTTTTGGTGGCAATTGACGCCGGATTAATTCGGTCAAGTAACTTGACCAAAAAAGAATCTTTCGAATTGTGTATTTTTGTTCCTTTTTTTAGGACAAAACTAAAATTTGGTCAATTGTTTTGTCCGAATTATCCTTTTTTTTTTTTTTTTTTTTGATCAAATAAATTGCTTGACCGAAATAATCTGATCGAAATGATCAACTTTCTAGTAGTATGATTTTTTTAGTCTCATTAAATCAGCTCATTGTGCAATTTTGCATGCTTTTAACAAACCAATGCTAACCTACAATTGACTTATAGGCTGGTGAAGAAAACTATACATTGAAAGTTCATGTGTTCACATGGGGTTGAAATTTTCTAGTAATATCTTCAAAGTCGTGGGGCCATAATAAACCCAAGATATTTCCAAAGACCATCATCATTCATGGTTTAGTGCCATTGGCATCTATATAGAAGAAAGTCGGAATATGTGGACAATTGAAATGGAATCTTATCGACATCTATATAAAAGAAGTACCAATTTCACACGGCCGTTTAAAAATGGAAAATGGAAAAGAAGAATCGGAGTGAAATTCAGAAACAAAACAAATTAATCACAGAGTTAAGAAACAAAATAGCCAAAACAAATTAATCACAGAGTTGAGAAACAAAATAGCCAGGGACGGAAGGTAACGTAATTCTCTAGCAAAATGGACGGATGCACTTGTTTCTGCAGTCTTGAGGCAGCTAACAACAATCATCTTGGAGGAAGCAAGGCAAAAGGTGAGACTAATAAAGGGTGAACAGGAGGAAATTGACAAGGTGAGAAGCAATCTCGAGTCTGTCCACGCTCTCCTTGATGATGCAGAGGAAAGGGAGATGAAGAACAAAAGTATCAAACTTTGGTTACATCGGCTCAAAGAAGCATCTCTTGACATGGAGGACGTGTTGGATGAGTGGAATACTGCACTTTTGAAGTGGAAAATGAATGAAGCTCAAAATGCTGTGTCTGTCCTCCAGAAAAAGGTGTGTCGTTTTATCTCTTGTTTTTACTTTCGACGACTTGTTAAGCTCCATGGTGTTACTGTTCAAATAAAAGAAATCAATGGAAGATTAGATGGGATTGCTAAACAGAAATATAGGTATAGTTTTGTGTCGAGGGAAATTAGACAGCCTGAAATTCAACCAGAAAGAGAAACCACATCTTTCGTTGATGGTTCTGTCATCCATGGACGAGATGAGGTAAAGAAAAGGATAATTAGCCACTTGCTATGTGGAAGCAGTGAAGAGTCTAGTGACCTCCACCTCCAGACCATCTCTATAGTAGGGATGGGAGGTATTGGTAAGACAGCTCTCGCACAAATCCTCTACAATGATGATCAAATTAAGACACACTTTGACAAGAGGGTTTGGGTGTGTGTCTCTGATCTCTTTGATGAGGTCAGAGTTGCAAGAGCAATCATCATTGAACTTGAAGGTCAGGATCATACTTCGGTGTTTCTCTTAAACTAACTACCACTTTAGAGCCTCTGAAAAAGAATTTGTGATTCCTTAGGAGGAAAGAAATTCTTTCTGGTTTTAGATGATGTGTGGACTGAGGACGATAGAAGTTGGGATTCACTGAAACTGACTTTTAAACATGGAGCTCCTGGAAGTCGGATTTTGGTGACTACTCACAAGGACACAGTTGTAGAGATAATGGAATCCTCCCACGTCTTCCGTTTAGAAGAGCTGTCTCAAGAGGTGTGTTGGTCCATACTTAGCCAAATAGCATTCATCAATAGGGACAGGCAACAATGTTCAGATTTGAATGACATTGGGTGGAAGATTGCCAAGAAGTGTAAAGGACTGCCACTTGCTGCAAAGACCTTGGGGAGTTTGTTGCGATATAAAAGAACAAGAGAAGAGTGGAAAGACGTTCTAGACAATGAAATATGGACATCAGAAATGATACAGAGAGATATCTTTGCCCTCTTTTGTTGAGTTATTATGATATACCCTCAGTAATAAGACAATGCTTTTTGTATTGTGCTATTTTTCCAAAGGATTTTGAAATATGGAGGTATCTTGTAATCCAACATTGGATGGCTCAAGGTTATCTGAATTCTAGTGGCAATGCAGAGATGGAATCAGTAGGCAGAGAGTATTTTGATTATTTGGCAGCTCGCTGCTTCTTCCAAGATTTTGGAAGACTTGAAGATGGTAGCATATTTAAATGTAAGATGCATGACATGGTACATGACTTTGTCCTGTTTTTGACAGAAAGTGATTTTGAAACAAAAAAGGTTGCTTCCGGTGAAAACTCAACCGTGGAGTTACAGTCCGAAGCTCGCCATTTGACAGTAATGCTGGCGGAACGAACGTCTTTTCCTGCCTCAATTCATGGCACAGAAAAGCTGCAGAGTGTTGTAACCTTTTGTGGACGGGAAGCAATAAGTAATGTAGCATTGTGCAACTTATTTAAACAGTCAAAACGTCTGCGTTTGCTTGATTTTCGTTGCCTTGTTGGGTTTAATCAGTTCAGAAATGAAATTCCTGATGAAACAGGGCAATTGATGCATTTGAGGCACCTTAACCTCTCCTTCGCTGTGGATGTGAAAAAGCTGCCTGAAACTATCTGTGAATTATGCAATCTGCTATCTTTGGATCTAAAATTTTGCGATGGTCTTCAAGAACTACCAGAGGGGATTGGGAAATTGATCAACTTGAGGTTTTTCAATGCTGCAGGTTGCCCTTCTCTAACTTGGTACCCAAAATCAATGGGGAGATTAACTTCTCTCAGGGAGTTGGTTGGGGTTAACGCTAGGGTTGATCACAATGATCCTATCCGGAAAAATTGTGCCACCATCGTCGGCTTTGGGTGAGTTTAGTTGGATATTCCATAGATGCAGATGTGGTTAGGAGAGCAAGACTTCATGATAAGATCCATTTGCAGAAGATGAAGATTGATCTGGTTCACAACATGGACCTAGGTTATGTAGTTGAAACCTTAAACCCACCTCCCAACTTAAATGTTGAGTTTTGGACTGGCTACTACGACTGGTATTACTAGCTAGTCCAGGAAGGAATGTGAATTTTATCAAGCAATAAGGAGACACCTACATTGATCATGATGAATAAGGGGAGTTATCTTTCATGGTCTGTAATTGTTGCTTATTCTCTTTCCTTTCTTTGTGTTGGTTCACGTTTGGATTCTGTTTGTTTTCGTGTTGGTTTTATATTCTATTTGCCCCCTTTTTCCTATTGGTTCATATTTGGATTCCATCATGTGGGGTTGATTCTACCGGATGTTTGCTGGATGACTAGACAGAAAACTTGTTGCCTTCTCCATTGAAGTGATTGTATATTTGTTATTTGAATGCACTGATTTTTTTTTCCCCCAAAACAAAGATTTGCATACACTAATTTATGCTCTGAGGCAAATGTACTGTTCATGAATTGTGCAAATTAAAGACACTATTATTAATTCTCTGATTGTGTTATATAGGTTACTTAGATATAATTGGGTATAACATCAACCTACAACAACCTGGTTTTCTAACAGTGTTGTTAATACCACAACATTCATTCCAATCCAGATTGTTATGGGTCAGTATCAAATTCTTCCTGTTTAATTTGGACCTCTATTTCAGCCATTCAAGCAAAGTTTTGGATGAATTGTAATCTAAGATTTCCTTTTGCCTCTCCAACTTCTTTGTCCCTTGTTTCCCCTGTTTCTGAACTCAAATGCTCTATTCTTTTTTTGTTTTAAACTCTCTTTCATGAAATTAACTTCATTGCAGAATTTTTTTCTTGTGAAAACTTCGTTACAAAATGTTGGGAGGGAAAAATCCATGTCAAAGAACTCGAAAACCTGCATGATATTGGTACCAACCATCAAGTTCAGATCGAATTACATTCTATTAAGCTCGATTGTTATCTTACCTAACAAAAACTAAACTTCATAACAACATGTATCACGTCTACATTTGATGTGGTCGTATTACATGAGAAAATCTCATCAAACCTGTTGCAATTGATTTAAATATTGGATGCAACAAATTTATTTCCCTGCAATAATCAAGGTCTATTACAACACACTAACACCCTGGGCCAAAAATATGAATGTGAAATATTTTTTAAGATTTTTTCACCAAAATAATCATAAATTTTTTTGGTTAAAACCTTATTTTAATTTATCTACTTTAACAAAAAATTTA